TCACCTGGTTTTGGGGTCCCTCACCCCATTTTGGGAGGGGCACACCTGGATTTGGGGGGGGCACACCTGGATTTGGGTGGGCACACCTGGATTTGGGTGGTGGGCACACACCTGGATTTGGGGGGGCACACCTGGATTTTGGGGCCCCTGACCCGATTTTGGGGTATCTCCCCAATTTTTTGGGGTCCCTCCCCCGATTTTGGGGTCCCTCCCCAAGTTTTTGGGGGGTTTTCACCATTTTTGGGGGTTTCTCCCCCCAATTTTGGGGTCCCTCCCATAATTTTGGGGAGTCTTCCCCATTTTTGGGGGTTTCTCCCCAATTTTTGGCATCCCTGACCCAATTTTGGGGTCCCTCACCCATTTTTTGGGGTCCCTGACCCAATTTTGGGGTTTCTCCCCCAATTTTTGGGTTCCCTGTCCCATTTTTTGGGGTTTTTCACAATTTTTTGGGGTTTTTCACCATTTTTGGGGTTCCTCCCCCAATTTTGGGTTCCCTGTCCCATTTTTTGGGGTTTTTCACCATTTTTGGGGTTCCTCCCCATTTTTTGGGTTCCCTGTCCCATTTTTGGGTTCCCTGTCCCATTTTTTGGGTTTTTTCAACATTTTTTGGGATTTCTCCCCAATTTTGGGGTTCCCTGTCCCATTTTTTGGGGGTTTTTCACAATTTTCGGCGTTTCTCCCCCATTTTTGGGGTCCCTGTCCCATTTTTGGGGGTTTTTCACCATTTTCGGGGTTTCTCCCCATTTTTTGGGTTCCCTGTCCCATTTTTTGGTTTTTTTTCCCCATTTTCGGCGTTTCTCCCCCATTTTTGGGTTCCCTGTCCCATTTTTGGGGGTTTTTCACCATTTTTTGGGGTTTCTCCCCATTTTTTGGGTTCCCTGTCCCATTTTTGGGGGGTTTTTCACCATTTTCGTCGTTTCTCCCTCATTTTTGGGGTCCCTGTCCCATTTTTGGGGGTTTTTCACCATTTTTTGGGGTTTCTCCCCCATTTTGGGGTTCCCTGTCCCATTTTTGGGTTCCCTGTCCCATTTTTGGGGGGTTTTTCACCATTTTCGGCGTTTCTCCCTCATTTTTGGGGTCCCTGTCCCATTTTTGGGGGTTTTTCACCTTTTTTTGGGGTTTCTCCCCCAATTTTGGGGTTCCCTGTCCCATTTTTGGGGGGTTTTTCACCATTTTTTGGGATTTTTTCACCATTTTTGGCATTTCTCCCCCATTTTTGGTTTCCCTGTCCCATTTTTTGGGTTTTTTCAACATTTTTTGGGGTTTCTCCCCATTTTTTGGGTTCCCTGTCCCATTTTTGGGTTCCCTGTCCCATTTTTTTGGGTTTTTTCAACATTTTTTGGGATTTCTCCCCAATTTTGGGGTTCCCTGTCCCATTTTTGGGGGTTTTTCACCATTCTGGGGTTTTCCCCCATTTTCGGCATTTCTCCCCCCATTTTGGGGTTCCCTGTCCCGTTTTTGGGGGGTTTTTCACCATTTTTGGGGTTTTTCCCCATTTTTGGCGTTTCTCCCCCAATTTTGGGGTTCCCTGTCCCATTTTTTGGGGGGTTTTCACCATTTTCGGGGTTTCTCCCCCCATTTTGGGGTTCCCTGTCCCATTTTCTGGGGGTTTTTCCCCATTTTTTGGGGTTTCTCCCCCAATTTTGGGGTTCCCCAGGTGCAGACGGAGCTGGAGCTGCTGGACCCCCCCAATCCCCTCCCCCTCATTTTGGGGGCGTCCCTGGGGGGGCTCCTCCTGCTGGGCCTGGTGGCCCTGGGGCTCTACAAGGTGAGAAATGCCCAAAATTGCCCAAAATCGCCCAAAATCGCCCCAAATTTCCAAAATTCCCAAATTCCCCCAGCATCGCCCCCAAAAATTCCCCAAAAATCCCCAAAAATCCCTCAAAAATACACTCAAAGATCTCCCCCCAAATCCCCCCCCAAATCCAACCAAATTCCCCCAAAAATGTGCCGAATTTCCCCCAAAATTCCCCAAAATTCCCCCAAATCCCCCAAATC